TTCATTGTGAACTAAAGATCCTTTCTAGTCAAGCTGTAGAGTAAGAAAAGGGCACATCAAAATCACTTGATGCAAACAAATCCTCTTTCCTGAGTGGCAAAATTATCAGAGGCTATTTCAGATCTGAGTCTGTCAATAAAGCCATTCCTTGGCTATGTCTGTGCAAGTGAAATAAGCAGGGCAAGGATACCAGCTCTATCGTTTGATCATCCATGCTGTTTAATTGCTAACACTCTCCCTGGCATAGTTTTGAGCTCGGTGCCAGACAATGCCTGGGCACAGCTGGGGGACAGCACAGGCCAGGGACTGTTCTCAGGAGGCAGCGAGTGTTCTTTGTTTTGGGGAGTGAAGACAATTTAATCATATAAACATAAGCAGTGCTGGACCACTTGCCCATAGGAACAGAGGAGGGGCATGGATGTAGCTTGTAAGTTCAAATGAGGTCCACAGCTCTGGCTTTTCTTTGACGACAGGGAGCAGTGGCTATAAATTCTTAACCCCGTGAGAACCTCCTGCTAGAGCTGATTAAGCATCTATTTCCCACCAGCCCAAGCTCTCACAAAGTGTCCCTAGAAAGAAAGGGGGTAGGTGGTCTTGCAGAGAACAGGCAGCTTAATTATCTAATCATGGGAGGCAGTGTCTGCTGTCTAATAGTCTAATGTTAGTTTCTCATGGGCACCTGAGAAAATTCAGTGCCCAAGTAAGAAGAGAAGGAGCAGAAGAATGGGATGGTCAGATGAAGTCTTGAAATCCCCCAAAGCCAAGAAGCTGGGAGCAGTCCAAAGTAAGCATATGAATTAATGTAGTAGATGTTGGTCTATCTGACCAGTGATTTTTTAGATTGCTGATGAGAAGAAAGAAGAGCCAAGCTCTATTCCTTAACTGTGTCCCGAGGATGTGCTCAGCACTACAAAAGTCTCTCTAAATACTTCAGAAGACCAGGAGTCCTTGAGGTATTTTGAGCAATGGAAAGTGAGATGACTTCCAGATGTTGTAAGGGAGTCACAACCCAAGATCACCTTTCCCTTTCCACTCTGAGGCAGAAGAACAAGGAAGAGGAGACTGAAAATGAGAGACTGGGGGTTCAAGCCAAAACACAGAGATGCACCAAGAAGTTATCTTTTGAGCTCTTTATGTGCTCTATGCATAACACCTTTACAGGTTGAATGTTTTCTGGGTATATGGTTTACTGGTTGACAAACACACACAGGAATGCTATC